GTTGGCAGCACCCGCATTACAGTCCAACCAGGTTAGTTTTGTTTTTTCTTCCTCCGCCAGAGGGTTTCAGTCTATTGTCGTTACTTATTGTGTTTTGAATTAGAATATTACGAAACAAGGAACGGGTTTAAAAACAGCCGTAATGCGCTCCATTGATTTAGCTCGCGCTCGATCTCGCTCTATCGCAGACGTCGGCGCACGCGACGCCATTATTGTTTTTTTTTTGTTATTTTGGCACAAGTTTGCATATATAAACAAATTAACCTTCTCTCAGCTATTCATAGAATGTCGCTTGTCATCTGTGACAATAGGTTTCAAATATTTACGCTAAGTGTGTTTTATTTTTGTAACGTTTACCATGCTAATGCAAACGCATACGATTTCAGCGGATCTCCTGTATCTACTGCGGTGCTTTGCGCGATCATGTATTTTTGTTTTAGGCCTGCTTTGAAGCGACTCTCAGTATCCTTCCACGAAATACTATCGTCGACGAACGGGAAGGTTTGAAGGCTCGTCGCTAATCTTAACATCACCATTTGTTATACCTGGCATCTGTTTCCAAGGGCCTATCAGTGAAGACCGAATTTTTAGCAAAACCTATTACATTTTTCGCATTTCTGTTAAAATATCTTGTTCAGGATGCAAATTCAGGGCTGGAGGCACGTCGTGCCGTTATACATAAGCAGCTTCGGTGGGTCTCTGGCAATACGCCGTCCAGAGAATTTGCAGTGTATAGAAGGTGAAATCCCGGCGACAGAGCGGCTATAGTATAACGAAGTTTGACTGCCGGAAAGGGGAGGAGAGTACCACAGAGTTTGGGTGGGATGCGCGAAGTTCACTAGGCAAATTAAATCGACTTTGATTTCCGTCAAATTATGTTTCGTGGTTTTCATGGGTTCCGCAGACTCTGATCTTTAAAAGAAAAATGAAAATGTGGAACACACAGGGGCAGAAAGACATGCAGAATCTTTCTGCTCGTAGCACTCTGTCTCAAAGCGTGCAATTCGCCACAGAGAGTAGTAAGTACTAACCACCGCCATATCGCGAGGAAGTCTCTCGTAGAATACTGCAATTTGAGTTCAAAAGCCTATCACTATCAGTCCAAGAAAACTTGAAACCTTAAAATCCTTTGTTTTTTTTAAATCTTGAGGCGTTTCAAGAATTCTCATAATCCGCGAGGGTTTTGCCTGTTCATCGCAGTGATCGACCCTCTGTCTGCTTGAGGACGGAGTAAAAGCGCTATTGTTGTTGGCCTTCTCGGGACATCATAATTTTTTTCAAATTTTTATTGCCTAGGCGCAGGCGTCCGTTGGCACCGCAAGAGAGAGAGAGAGAAAAGAACATTCGTACACTACATATTTCTTTTATTTGTCAAAGCAAGTCGTAGGCTGATAATAAGTTAACCTAGTTACAGGTTGAGTAATTAAAAACACATTCACTAGATACTTTTCTTCTGCGATCAGGTGTAAGAGGGTTTGGGGTGCTGAGAGACGGTACTGAAATTCGGTAATCTGAAGGACTCACTACAATGTTACAGATTGCTCCTCGTGATGCTCAGTATTTTCCCGAACGAGCGACACATTTGCACACTGGAAGAAAACGACACTGTAAACAAATTACTGTGCAAAGCAGTATAAAGTGTTACAATTGAAAGATTAAGTTCAGAGATCGCCAAATACTTTGATAACGTTGTCCCATATGCCGCCGATCAGCGAGAAACACGTTGACGCAAAATAATTCTAAAAGAAACAAAAAAAAAAAATCAAGGGGAATATTTTTTTTTCCGTCCGGCTAAGCGACTTTTAAGAGGCAGGATCGCGACTTGAACCCGGCGTCGTCAACGAAATCGTTTTTAGAGGACTCTAGGGGCGTTCGCTTTGACGCGATGCGAGATTTGTCAGGCGTCAAAAAGAAAATGGCTACATTCTGAGAAAAACGACAAATACATCAACTGAATTTGGTTCATGTGCTAAGGCATAAAATCCTAACATAGAAAGTATTGAATCATATATTAAAAAAAAAAATACCTTGGACGTTCATCGGAAACGGATGCTAGGAAGAAAGCGGGGTTTGTTTTTATCACCTTATTTTTTACGGTTCAAAGCCTTGTGCCCCTTCTGCCTCCAGATATCTAATTTGGGGATTAAGCTTTGAAAACCTAAAGAACGAGGATTTCGGCTCTAGACTGCACTGGAGTTCCAAAGGGCAACATATTGTCTTATCTACATCGCCATATGGCATACAAGAATATAAGAAAAGATAAAAGTTTACTATGGTCTCTCCTTTCGTTCTCTTATTCAAAAAGTCACCTGATCAGTAGAGAACGTTTTCTAATATAACAAAACTACACTTCTTGTTTTTTTGAACTGTACAGAAAGATGTAATTTAAAACTCTCGAATAACTACTGGATGCCAATAGTCATTTGTCTTCGGAGGTTCGCTCCGTATTGTATAGCAACGTTTTCTTCTGAATTGTTTCTACAATAAGAGGATCTTCATATCTAAAAAAAAACGTTTAATGGCCGACCTGGAAAATGTAATTTAAACTGTACTGTAAAAAGAGCAATAATTTTTTTCTGCGTGTGAGCGTAAATTAATATATAATAAAAGCTTATGGAAACGCAGCTGCCAGGAAAGTGTGTATGCTATAGTCAAGTTTTTATGTGTGCATGTACGTGTTCGAAGCACAATTTCATGTTGGCAGAGACGCTTAAACACACCGCATTAATATGTCTTTTCTTTTCCTAATGTAATTAAAAAAAAAGAGGGGTAGTCAGTACAATTTTTTTGGTTCACAAAGCGCACAAATGTGAGTAATTAAACGTACCCCCTTTGTTTCTTTAATCCCGCTCAGACTAAAGCGATCTCCACGGCGCCTTTGGAGGGGCCTCTCAAAACGAAATAGCTCATGTATGAGCCAACTTTTTTTTAGGGACGTAAAGATAATCTGGGACATTGAAAGAAGCGCCGGAAACTGTTTAAAATGCGCACTGAAAAAAACAAAAAAAAAACAACAACAACAACAAGAAAAGGGTCTCTGTTTAATTAAAATTTATAATATCTTTTTCTAAAAATGGAGGTCTATATTGATTCCTAAGTCTAGCGTAAGGCTATTACACGAGTTTTGGAAGTAGGTTATGTGTACAATCTAGGTTGTTCAGAAATAAGAGAAATGAAGCGACACTATAGCGTAATCTCATCATCCACTGTGAGTACTTGAGGGGGAGGTTGCTTGCCACATTTGACTCAGGAAAGGCCTGGGTTATTGCGTTCACGATTCTCCCTTCGTGATTCCTCCTTCGACGTTCTTATCCGCTAATGACGCAACATCATCGACTGCGGAGCTAAAATGATACACAGGTGTCCCCCCAAGATTTGGCAGGGCTTTTGTTTTTTCAACGCAAAAATAAAATCGCACCGCCGAACGTTTTTTTTTTTTTTTTTTTTTTTACCTAAATGTAACGTTGGCCGTCGGAGTAAGATGCTAAAGTTACGTATTTAACTGTTGAATCATTTGAAAATTTTAACTGGCAACTCCGGTTAATTTCGAACATTTCGGGATAAGGCATTTGACATTAAAACGCACTAATAAAAGACACTATGTCATTTTGCTTCATGGAAAATAGGATATGTATTTGTTACATCTCACTTCAAACATAAGCCGAAATGGAAACCGAAACTTCGGCTTCGTCTGGTAACAAACGCCTCGGGACCCCATAAACATGGCTGTCACGCGGTACGAGATGTCGCGTGATCCGCTACGCAACGACGGGCGGGTTTGGGGTTGGCCGGCGGTACACTGTCGGGGCAGGAGTGTGCCAGGCGCCTGTCGTCTGCTTCGCACTCTTCACCACATTTTGGTGTCTACGACATTCGACGACGTCTGCACAACTGTGGCATCAATCTACGCCTGTAGTGTGAACGAAACTCCGAAAGACAATAATCACAAATGGTAAGATGACGACGGTGGTTGTGAACGCGGGCGACGGCGGTAACGGCGGGCAGGTCAGACGGCTCCCAATAAGCGCGCTGCGCAGACGCGTTACGCGAACACGTAAACACTGCTGAGCGCCGAGAGGACACGTTGCTGACGTCACCCGTTACGCTTGCCTGGAAAAATAAAAACAAACAAAAAGGGTCAATGGTGATGACGTTTAACTCAATTAACCGCGCTCTTGGTTGCGCCTTAATTCGCCCGCTGGAGTCAGCCGGTTTCGGTAACTTGACGCGTTGCAAAGTTTGCCGAACCGTTTAAGAAACCATTTAGATAGTACTAGGTTCTAATATTTGACGTGTGGTCTCCCTAGGTGATACTGAAGAGGACTGCATTGTTTCTTTTCAAAAACAAAACAAAGCGAAGTTTCCCTTTAAACAATTTTCTGAAATTTCTTTTGAAAAAAATGGCGGCCGACCGAGCTTCCGAATACAGCTCAATTGCGCCAGTAATTTAAAACGGGCTAAAAAGGGGACCCAGTTTCCCCATTGAAATATATATAAAAGAACACTTATAAACTTTAAAGGCCATAACGGTTAGTTCTATAACTTTGTCACCTGCTTCGTACCGAAAGCGTTTCATTTGGGCATAGATTGAGTGTTTGGCTAAAGATAGTTTATTTTTGCAGTTTTAACAGATTTTTTTTTTTTTTTTTGGGGGGGGGGGGGGGGGCGGAGAACACGATGTAGATGACTTGCCAAGCCCTTCGCTTCTTGAGCTGTTCTTAACTATAGTGTAACGACTTTGACTGCTTTCAAAAATTGGTAGAATGGTAGGAGAAATGAGGATTGCGTGCTTGTGATCGGTATCTGTTCGAGTCGATGAGCTTCACGACATGCACGGAAACGCACCAGTGAAGGAACGTGAGCATCTAGAAAAAGGGAAACAATTTGCTTGGTTATAAAGAAAAATAAGCTCACTGGTTTGTGCGTACAAAACTGCCAAATATGAGACACATGTTCTACGCTGTGTGAACGTTGATACGTCATATGTTCTTATGTTCAAGGAAAACCGTCTCCTATGCTGTCCTGGAAAAGAAATGGGAGCTACTTTCCAACCAAGACCCTGACCTCTGTTGCCGGGGATGTGAAACAATCCAAGCTAACCCTGCCATCGCTGCACAGAAACGACCTGATGGCTACCTACACCTGCGTGTCGTCGAACAACATCTCGGCGCCCACAGAGGTCTCCGTCACGCTCGAGTTGAACCGTGAGTCGAATGCAGCAATAGCCACTTGCAACTCGGCCCGAAGTTAAAGAGACGCTGGAAATGCGTATCGCAAAACGTACTACTCATTCCGCAACTTGAGGTTGACTCAGTCACTGTGTCACTAATTGCTCATGGGTGAACAGCACCAAAACGACACGTTGGTGCAATTCATTCTTAGCAATATTCACTCCCAGGTCATCCACCCAATCCATTTATTCACTTTTTTATCTCATAACGTTTAACCATCTTGGCTTTCAGGAAGGCACATGTATAAAGGTTGAATATGTATCGTAAGCGGACTGGTAGTGCCTATTAAGCCGTGAGGAGTTTTTTAATTCTTGTACTTTCTTATCATTATTATTACTTTCATTTCGCTTTTATCGCAAACTCAGGTAGCTCGTTGACTGACGAGGTTATAAATATGCTTAGACTTAAAAATACATTCTGCGCTCTGAATCTGAGTATAGCGAAGCGTCCTTCTCAGGGCCACAGCACCGACATTTTAGATCTAAATACACTTCCAGCGTCCTAATTCGCCGACCCCCCTCCGAAGATTGAAGCGACTGGCTCTCTCTCCTATTAGACGCTCCACATTTTGTTTAGATTGCGTCCAACGCATCTCTTGATAGTAACATTTCTGTCTCACGCAGTGGCACCAATATCGGTGCAAATACGGAAGAGCGAAGCTCCGATCTCGTCAGGCCTCACTGCCGAGATCCTGTGCGAAGTGTGGGGATCCAGGCCGCCCCCGGAGATCACCTGGTGGAAGAACAGCGACCAGCTCAACCAGACGTTTGTGCACGTGTCTCAGGACGGCAACCTGACCACGAGCGTCGTTGCCTTTTCACCCCAGCGATCGGACAACGGTCAGAGCCTCGTTTGCCGGGCACAAAATCCACGCCTGAAGAATAGTGCCAAGGAGGATCAATGGGAACTCAGTGTGCACTGTGAGTTTCCGAAATTAGCTTTCTCCGAGGGAACTGTATAGAGCTCAGCAGCGTATGTACTATAGCGGTTCATGTATACATGGGTCGGCATTCTGTAGATGTAGTCTTCAAGATTTTTGAACGATTAGATTCAAAGAAAAAGAGAAAAAAAAACACTCCACATCCCCTTTTTTACCCTGCATAGGTTTTGTTCCCCCCCCCCCCCCCCCCCCTTTAAATTAGCATAAGCTTGTGGGGCTATTTTATCCTTGGCGTGCAACTCACCGCTACATGGCTGTGGCGGTCAGTTAATACTTTTCACTAAAATTGACAAAATATCGTCTCCATGCTTGCACTTTTTCAAGTGGTAGTCTTCAAGAAATCGACAACTGAAAAATTATTTTATCATTATTAATGATGAAAGTTTACAAATACTATATATGTAGATATTTTAACCACCTCATATATATATATATATATATATATACCCCTTACTAAACATGCTAAAAGGGCAGACCGTTACAGTCAATATCAGGTTGATTAAAGATAACGCTTATGATTCACATACAATAAGTAATTTAATGAATCCAACTAAGGAATGACAGTTTTAGTATTGTTTGTGGTGAGAAAAAAAATAACGACAAGAAATGAGACCGACGAAAAATGAACTACGAATGCACAAAATACTTTAATAATGTATGAGTCGTCGAAACCATTAAATACGTCACAGCCGTACCGGTTAAGAACGCAAGCATTCAGAGCGCTTTGGGTGACGAACGTGGAGCGAGAAGCACACTCGGAGACGCGACGCGGAAGTGTAGCCTAGTCCTTCGTCGCCACGATAAAGCTGGAACGTGGTGGGGGGAAATCAACTTCGCAGCTGATCAACACTGCGGCGGCGGCTGCCATTTTCGAAGTGCTTTTTCGAAACTTTTCGGCATCGAGTGTTCAGGCGACTTTAGCCACTGCCAGATTAACAAACGCCGGAATGTTTTATTATGCCCTCGCTTCCTGCATCGTGATATGCTCTCCGCCATTCTTATCGGCCAATGTCTCCAGTCTAAATGGCCCAGGAGTGGTGATAAGATTCTCCAGACCAACCGCGTCCTGCGTTCGTTAATCTGTCAGCGCGTATAGACCTTTCCAGCGGCAGTCTCGAACGAAGCGATTTACAGCTCGCGTCCCTGGTTTTGAGAGGGTACGTCAGTGTCGGCCAACTGCGCAGGTGGTTAGAATTTTTTTTTTTTTCAATGGGCTGTACCAGTCTGTGTAGGCGCAATCCTGGACACTGGTGGCGTCAAAATTGACACGTTTTATTGTTTCATTTGTGTTCTATGGCGAATAAAATTTCTCGAGGCTTTTACTATTTTTGGAAACAAAAACAAAGAAACCAAATTTATTTTGGTTAGTCTGTGCGCGGCAAAACAAATGCAACGGGATGTTTGTTTTATTTTGTGTTGCTTTTTGCGGCGTGATACATTCAGCCATAATAATGTGTAAAACTCTCAACTGTCAAAAAATATTTGACCACAGAGGGTTGCTGAAATCTCCGGGGTATTCTCCTCAGACATGAAATTCAACGAGTCTCGTCAATCGAACAGCATATTGTATGTACCCCATGGTGCTGCGTTATCTGAACAGGACTAATTCTGAGAATGATCTTAAAAAACACGGCATATCTCATACATGGTGCAGACGACCGTCACTTGGCGACGATTGGACGGAATCCGACTTGTTTTGGGACCCGTTTTGTAGAGAGTTGCTTTTTCGCATAGTACCAAAGCAAATGAACGAAAGTGTCTATACGGTTCCCATACCCCGGACTTTATCAGCTATTTTTCGCCAAAAATCAGGAACATAGCCGGGAAGTCTTTTCGGAGATTACCTCAACGGAAATAATCATCGAAGAACGTCGAACGGCCCGCGTCGCGGGCTGCATGACGCTCGCTCTCTTCGATCGTTTCCTACGAAGGCCGTGCAGACTATGAGCCCTGGTATTCCCTGGTGCTCATAGTGGAAGGTAACACAAAAGGGTGAGCATCCTGAACAGGCAAATAAAGTAAAAACTCAAAAGAAAATCTGGCGAACTCCGAATGTACAATGCACTTGGGGAGTCGCGCTGACTAGGATTCTACAGCTCAGGCCGGTGGGAGAAATTTCTGGCTGATAGGGTTCGCCCGAGTAGCAAAACGGCGTCTGCCAAAGAGCTCTTTTTGCGAAGGTCTGTATAGTTAGAGAGTAAATAGTGTTTCCGACAAAAGGGAACCGCGTTTTTAGGCCCGAGTAAATAAACTAAACATCGCAGAAAACACAAACTCCGTGAGAATGTGGCGCTAGCTGTTAGAATAGATCGCGAAATATGGAAAATCATGACGTTATCTAGATCAAAAGATAATCGAGAAAGAGAAAATGGAACTATAAGCCTATCTTTTTCTAAGCCTAATAGTGTCAAAACAAGAAATGAAATTGAGGACGTTTGTAGTATATATTTCAGTGGAATAGAAAAACAAAAGATAAACTTGTCAACAAAAAAGAAAAGAATATTCTCGTATTGCTGACAAGTGTGTTTCACTGATATAAATACCACATGAGTTCGCAGTTTCAGTTTCTGTTTAACGATATTAGGCTTAGGTGGACGTCGGCTCACGAAGAAATTTGTCTTTCTCTGTTATTTTTTGATCTAGGTAACGTTATGTTTGACACTTTTAACATGCCATTATAATTATGCAGACAAGCCACGAGTTCAGCTGGAACTGGCCCGACAGCTGAGTCCCGACAACATACGGGAACGGACGGACGTCATGTTCGTGTGTCTGTTAGACGCCAACCCTACCGTGGAAGATGTCCAGTGGATCTTCAATGGACGCCAGTTACGGCCTTCGGGGTTCGACCGGTCGGCAGACAAGGATCAGCCCCGCAACACTTTGCTCATCAAGGGCATCGGCACTGTCCACTCGGGAAACTACTCCTGCCTAGGCGCCAACTCCGAAGGGGTGGGCACGAGCAACGAAGTCAATGTCCTTGTCAAGCGTAAGTATTTTATTTTTGCCTCGAGCTTCTTGACCTATGTTCGTGTATGACCAGCATTATTGATTTTCATGCCGCACTTCTCCTGGATTTAATTTCATTCTGCGCACTGTGGGAAAAAGGGCATAAAGTTTATTATAATAAAAAAAAAACGTCTTCACAGCTTTTTTTTTTTTTGGGGGGGGGGGGGGGGAGGGGGGGGGGCGGGAGGGGGCTGGGAGGGATCAGCAGACATGAGATTACGGGAAAAACATTATGACCACTTTTCTATTATCTAAAATGTGAAAGTACGCGATAACAAAATTGCGCTCCTAAACATATCTGTTCCGGATAAAAAAAAATAATCTGTAAATTAAAGCAAAAAAATCAATCACAGTAAATATTCGAGATAAAATAAAAAGGGTGGACTATAACAATTCAGCAGACAAGATGTCCGGAGAACAATTTTGGAAGCAGGAAGCGTTAATATAATAACTCACTCTCTCGCCTATCCTTGAGCTGTCAGTGACTGTAGGCTTGTAATGATAAAGTAAGGCACTTAACAGATTAACCATAAGGTTCCTATTCCATGAATATATCCATTGTTCAGCGTATGATACCATGTGGGTGTCATTCTACAAGAACAAGTTCCTATTGCATGAAGATGATATTAATGTTGCAAGAAAACATGGGAGTACTTAAAGGGGTTATGAAACGCTTTTCCAACTTTTTCCTATTTAGCTTTCCTCCTCAACTCATAAATCACGCATTCTACCAAACCCTTGCTCGAACCGTCGTTTGTGTACCTGGATACCGCCATTCTTCTAGAAGATTAGCACCTCGCTCAAAACTCGGACAAAAGTTCCTTTCGCCACTCAGTTCACCCCGAAGCTGACAATGCAGGAAAAGCTACATGCTCGTTGAGCCAGCCACACTTTTGCCACGCGATCACGCTCCCTCGCGCATACACACGCGCAGAGAATGAGGTCAGGTGACAAAAGAGAAGCGGCTGATTGTCCCGGCAAGCTCATAGGCTCCACCGCACTGTCAGCTTTGTGGTGCATGGAATAAGTCAGGTCCGATGTCGCGTGACGTGCGTTTGGGCCGGGTGACGCGCTTTCGGTACCGCGGATGTATTACAGTGAAAAGGCAGAGAGCTTACGAAGGGAAGGAGGTACGAAATAGTCCGCTGTGTTTTAAAATTTTTGTACCGAAAATCAGGCTTCTGACTTTCTACCTTGTTTGTTGTGGTCCACTAAACGATATGCTATTAGTAAAGTCTAAATCTAAATTCATTTATCCCAGCCCAAAATTCGTTTCATGGGCCCTTTAATTAATTGAAGGTGAATAAGGCATACTTTTCTATTAAGGTTATTGTCTGACAACAGAAGGAAAGCAGGAAAACGACAAGTTGTTTCTGAACACTTGATAAAGATTCATATATGCCACTTTGTTAAGTGTGAAATGGCGTGGGCTTTTGACCAGAATTATAGTTAGTTCAAATACTCTACTTAAGTTACTGTAGTTTAACTACTTTTCTGAGTCGTTTAGCAACTTTCAATTACATTCTAATTTCGGTAATTAGTAGTTTACTTTAAAGGGGCACTGACATACATACCCAAAGGTCGTAATTTTTTCTTAACGTCTAAAACGATGAAAGTTGTAGTCATAGACACGCAAAAAAATGAAAAAAACCGCATCGATCCATCGTAATATGTTCTCCATAATATTCCATAATATTATGGAATGCAATTTATCAAGTAAAAAGCCATGGTTTAGATGTGATTATAAAACGTTAAATAGTCCTTTTGGGCAATAAAAAACACATTGGCCATTAATTGCCCTCTCTACAACATCACGATGCACCACAAAATGTATCGGAATCTGTAACAGGAGGCATAAACCATACCATCAGCCGTCGCAAAAAAAAAAAAAAAAAAGAGAAAGAGCATTACGATGTTAGCTTTGTTGGTTGAGGGTTCGAATCCTGGTGGGCGACGAGTATATATTTGTTTACTCTGGTTGCGAATGTTTTAACTCTTTTGTTTCTATGGTAACCCGTCTAGTTATGCTGATATGTCTCGTCATGAGGTATGCTTTGACGCACTAAAGGAAGATCAATTTTCTAGGGGTAGGGGATTCCCGTATATATCATCCCTTGTTTTATATTTCACGTTTCAATAGCAAAAGCAGATTTTTCAACGTAAGTTTAACAATTCCCCGCCTTGTCAGAACGTTAACACTTGCACACCTATATTTCTCAGATACCCCGACATGCAAGCCCCACCAGCGAGTTGTGTACACGGCTGCCCGAGCGGAAGAAGTGGACGTCTCTTGCGAGGTGGACGCCTATCCGTCCCTGGTCACATTCCTGTGGCTCTTCAACTCGAGTCTACAGAGTCACCAAGTAGACGCCGTTCATTGGAACGGCACCCAGAGTACTGCGCGCTATGCTGCTCACTCAGGGGACGACTACGGCACCTTGCTCTGTTGGGCAAGGAACGAGGTTGGCCGCCAGGAGGAACCGTGCGTCTTTCTCGTCGTGCCGCAGGGTATGTATGGATGAATAAATAAATGAATAAGGCTGAGCGCTTTAAATGAGGCGGCGACTAGTGCCACCTATAGTCAGTGTGGGAAGGTTGCACTCCTGAGCTATGAACTCTTCCGCGCACACAATTTTCTCTTGAACAGGATAAAGTTAACCATTACAAGATTAAATGGATGCCGGCGAGCAACACGTATTTAGTTTAATTTAAAATGAAATGCACGCGTGCAGGGTTCGGCAGCAATACTCTCAATACTATTTGAAAATACAAATACTGGAATACATGAAAAAAGAGGTAAAATACTGATACTGAAGTACATTTATAAACGAAATATTGCAATACGTATCAATGCATTCAAAACTGAAAAAAGTATTTAGAAATGTAAATAGAGAAATATCTTTTGGTGGGGTAGAAATACAGATACTGAAATAGATTGCTATAAGAAAAGACACTTAGTGCCCTTCCACTCTGTGAAGAAGGATAACCAGCGAAGCTGTATTGAGATGACCATATTGACTACTCACGGTACTCGGGGTCCCGACGGGCGCATCACATGCGCTTGGCGTTGGTGGCCCGCTCCTCTTCGGTCGTTTTCGCTCGACGATGTCGATCACACTCACTCTTCTGCTCCCGCCGTCGCTCTAGATGGGCACGCTGTTGTTCTTCGTCGGTCAGAGAGAAGCTACTTGATGGTCCCGACCCGTCGGTCGCAGCGGCTTCTCGTTGCTTTCGCGCCCATTCGCGCTTTTGCTCTCGTTGTCGCTCTTTGACGACATGTTCTTCCTCAGGGTGAACTACGCGTGTCCTTCCCATAACAGATCCAAAGTGAAACTGCTGATACCGTCGCTAAGACGATGACCAAGTCAGAAAAGAACGAGGCACTACGATTGGTGGATAGACTATGACGCCGCGAATTCACGATCCACAAGCTCTGGTCGCGCACACAGAAAATGTCAGAACCTAGCCATAGGCAGCTTCGCTGTAAAACATTAGTGTTTATGTTCTGGTGGACTAGTGCATACGAAGTACAAAAAAATAAGCATAATCTTGAATACGAGATTTTGTTTTTAAACCAGCGAGGACCCACTTCAAGATAGGGCGTGAATTTCGACGTTGACGTTCTTGGCTAAAGTTAAATTTTCCGCAGAATTAACATTTCGTACTTTAGAAAGTAATACGGGAAGCAAGCCATTTTTTCGCCATGGCTCAAACGCACTTTTATTTCGGCATCTCTCATCTTTCTGAGACAAAATCCCAGGGCCCCCCTAAGTCAGTTTTTTTTTTACTCCCAAGTAACCTCGAGAAGACACTATGATAATCTCTAATCTGGGCGCGCGCGCGCCTCTTTCAGCAGTGACCTTACAACGTCACTAGAGAGTGAAGTTCACAAAAGTCCTATTCTTTTTTCTGGTAGTTGGTGTGCAGACAGAGTCTTTAACTGTTTTTATTAAAAAAATAGTCGACCATTTAAAGTGCGGAAAACTTTTTGCGAACTTTGTAAATAAAAAATCGACTCATGTGCTTTTAAGGACACAAAACGTCCCGGACGAAACTTGGTTATGGCCCTCTATGTGAAGGTAAACAATTAATTTAAAGGGACCATGAAATGATTTTAAAATCGAGTTTCATCCACCACACGTCGTAAAAGGTGTGAAAAGAAACACTAAAACACAAAAATAGGGAGCCAAAAAAAATTATTTGCTATAGAACTTTTAAAAGAAAACTGGACTCTTTTGCGCCTTCCTTCCTTCGCCTGTTCACTACGATGCATCCGCGGAAATGGAGCACGTCAGCCAAATCCAGGTCGCCTATTGGGTAAGAGCCTACCTCACCAGCACCGCGATCGTAAACAATAAATAGCCGGCGAATGTTTCCTAAAGTTTTGTTAAATAATATTCAGATCCACATTTTGTAGCATAATTAGAGATGTGTGGCAAAAATTGCCAAATATGATAATGCTGAGAGCCAAGCGCCATCTATCGTGTGGTAAACGAAGCAATTACTGCGCGTGCGCAGTAGGGCAGGGCCGACAGTTACTTGGGTGGCGGCGGTGGCGGCTGCCGACGAACGTTTATTTTCTTTGTTTTCCTTCCTCTCAAGACTCTGACTGACTGAACGTTTATTTTTCTACGTGTTCTTCCCGCGTGTGCCGACTTCAAGCAGCAAGAAAACAGTACTTAAAACAGACCACGACGAACAAGAACGCTGGATCCACCGACTCCGACGAAGTGAGCTGCTCAGAATATAGGCCTAGCAGGCATTCCGACTCGGCGCTGCGTTGCTTCGTCGCAAGACCGTCTGCCTACGACCGGCTGGCGTGCTAAATGGAATATGCCCGCGCGACCCTTGTGGACCCTTCCCGTATTATAGTTTGATCACTGACCTCAATTCTAGACTAAGAGGTGAGGTCAATCTCTTCCCCTTGTTTTCCGAGGCAGTGTTGACGAACACTCGTCGAAAAGGGACTCTCGTCGATTCTATCTTCTTGTTTTGTGTGATATAGAGCTGAAATAAACGCCGTACGGATTACCTTCGTAAAACGGTATGTACACTTTGTTATTGGTATGCCATTTTTATTCTGACAGACTGCACGTCACTGTCGAGCTATAACAGTTCGTGGGAGGTATACGTACAACCCCGGTCCAATTTTTCTTTGCCGAGTGTCGCGTCAGTATTGAGTTGCAATCGTAAAAGAACGGTCCCGAAGCGCTTACAAACAGCGCGAATACAGCACTTCCATCAAGCGCGCGCGTTCGCTCCGAGTGTAAACAGGTATTTACGTGGCTCTTGCTGACACTCGTAGTTCAAACGTATCTTTTTTAACGTCGGCTCGCTCCTGCATCTCCGAGGCCGCGAAAAACGCCATCTACGTCACTTTGCAAACGACTGACACGGGCTGGCCCTTCTGCCAACAATGACTGGGTGGTTCTGGAGTCTTTACCGGAAGACTCGCTGCACTTCCCAACAGGCATACCGGTGTATGGGACTAGTCCCATGCTGTCGCTGTAGCGCAACATATCTCATTGAATTTCGCTCAGCTGCGATGCGGCGATGAGAGGCGCCGATTCAGGAAATACGTCGGTGACATCAGCGCAGTAAAACCTACCGGCGCACCCCAACTCGTTGCCGCTAACACTCCCATTCTCCTACTGCCGAGAGAACTTCCGGTTCCGAAAACGGCCTACGTCACGGCTTGTTTTGCGGTCAGTTGGAGAGAATCAAAAAGTCGATATTTCAATAATTTTTTGTGTAGAAGTTAATAAACCGAGACGAAAACGGATGCTTGTTCGGCATTCAGTGAACATTGACGGTTTAATGTAAAAGTTATCTGGAAAAAGTAAAAAGGTCATTTCATGGTCCCTTTAATATTGTAAGGAAATACGTCGGCCTGAAGTATCGCAATACCAGAAATACACCCGAAAATGGAAATGTGTGAATGAAGATAATAAAGACAATGAAGATATACAAAAAAAAAATACAACTGAAAATTGTATCGCGATACAGAAATATGAATATATAATGTATTTCTGAAATATTATCGCGATACATTTTATTGTTATACTGCTCAACACTGCACGCAATATAGAATAATGAGCATGGTGTACACGAAGCTATAATTACTTTCTGTTCTGTCTTAAGTTTCGGCTCAGCCGATATTTTTTGTCTGATTTGTATTTAGGCTCCTTTTATAAGCAGGTTATTACTTATTTTCTGTTAACGTGCCCTTCAAGCTGGTAGTGCTGCTTCTTTGAGTTATGCGAAAAAGGTTTTATTATATGCACGCAAAAGTGTTCAGTTTCACTGGCGTGCTAAGCCATTAGCACCCATTTGAAAATTGAGCCTACCTGCGTTTCATTTGAATGCAATTTAGCACAATTAAATTAGCTCGCTAAGCGCAGTTGCCGAGGTACAGCATTTTGAAGATTCTTGCGAAGTGTTACGCTCTATTTTTCTTACCGTTTTTTATACACTGTTTACCTTTCCTAGGTGCCAGGTTGCAGCTCTCTGATGAAACCCTACTGACTATGCTCATCTCTGCCATCACCGTGCTCTTCCTGCTGCCCCTCTGCATCTTCATAGCCTTGCGGATGAGGAGCAAGCGGTCCTACGAGCAAGGTCGGTTTCACTGTGGTACCGCTGCTGCTGGGGTTCGGGCAATGAAAGATCTACCCCTTGACAAATCGAGACGCGTTTGTCCGGCTTTGCAATATTGACATTTGTTAGCTGATTGCTTCCCTGTGTGTGACCTGCTCGAAATATTTACGAATATGTTCCTTTTCACACTGACACCGAGCGCAGCCTACTCCACGCTCCAGGGTAGCCAATTAAGCAACACCACAAGTCCCTTCTCAAAGCACTTGCAGTTTTTGTGCGTTAGCGTTTGATGGGGAGACTAATCACGTGCACCAAACGCGCTTGCGATCCACCGCTTTTGTGGGCTTGATTCATTTAGTAGGTGAAAGCAAACACAAAAAAAAAAGCACGAGTGCCGTGACGACGCAGTTGTGGCGCCGTTTGATTGCCTTCAACGGATGGTAGCGTTCATTGCTGCAATAAGACTTCCTGAAAAACTGAAAATAATTACAATCCCAGTGTCGTCGAATGCCCGACTGTCCGGTATATCTTAAAGAATAACTGCAACGAAAAAAATGTTTTTTTTTTAACAGCCTAATTTGGACAAACCTGTCAGAAAACAAATCTTCCGCGAAAAATAACAATTTTTTTTCTAGCAATATTTACGCCACAGGACGTAATTTAGTTTTAGTCACAAGTTCTCCTCACATGAAACTCCGGCTATTTCGACGCGCGCGGAATTGCTGTTATACGTCACTCCGTGACGTATAGCAGCCACTACGTGACGTAGAACACCAACTTTGTTGCGCGCGATTTAAAACGGACGAAATAGCCGCAAACTAAAATCGGTCTAGCGCAATATTCATGTAAAAAATTTATTTTTGGAGGAAATATTGTTTTGTGACATGCTTGTCCCAATTAGGTTGTTTGAAAATACACTTATGTTTCTTTGCAGTTACCCTTTAAGACACGTGAAATTAATTGCAGTTGAATACATAAATATTTAATAAGAGATGTACCAATGGCTACAACTTGGTTTAAGGTTGGCTTATTACATAACTAGCCTTTTATCGACTGACGGCAAGAACCACATGTTCAAGAGATCACTAGTTTTGAGTAATACATTTCGCATCGTAACATTCGAGGTTTTTTTTTTCTTATAGTAGAGAACTTCATACAGAAAACCAAAGTAAACGAGGAACAGCCGGTAATAAAAAAATCAGTACCCGAGTTTGTGCGGGCAAGAAGGAAGAACCGATCGATGTTGGACGTAAATTCGATGACATCTAGAGGACGCAACACGCCTCGGAGTTTCATAAGGTCCTACACCGTAACAGACTGTCTTTTTTATATTGGTTTAAGAAAAAAATCGTCATTATATATCATACCTTTTATAGAGCGTGAAAGACTCCTCCGAGCCTTAGTTTAGGGCATCCTTTATTAGTGCGCCTTAACTTCAGGTGTATAAAGCACCCCCTTTCGCTGCCCCCCCCCCCCCCCCCCTCCCGCCGCACACACATTCACACACTACAAATCAAATGCAATTCTTAAAATGCACTTTGATAACATTCTTTATTTCCTCATGCGACGTCACAGTTTAGTTTTAAGGTGACTAATAGCGTTCTAAAGATATTACAGGGGTGCGTTGCATTTCTCCGTAGGTCGTCCTTTCACCGCAGTCCTAGGGACTGGTCAAGCGTATATAATACGGTGAAAATATTCACTGCTGGTCTGAAAAAGCGTTTGTTCTCGACTCGACAGGCGCTGCTGATCGCGACCGATATGAGTATTTCGTGAATATTTTCTTAGATTTCCTTCTTCGCAAAGACGACCCTAGGAGTTCGCTTCTGAGCACCTGCATTCGTGTCATTAATCATCCAGGCATTACAAGTTGCAATCCCGCATAATTACATTTCTTTTTTTCTTTGCGCTTGTCAGCTCTTCGTTGTTTTCAATCGTCGTCAATGACCGCCCATAAGCCTGTTTTGTGCCCAGACAAGCAGACTGTTCTTAATGAATTATGCGTTTAGTTTGCACTCTCGGTAGCTTAAAACAAGAACAACAACGATCTCGTTCGTATGCAAACACCCGGGCATTCCCCTTAAGCGACTTCACATTAGCGAAGTACCTTCATTAAAAGAATATGGCCCCAACATCCAGACAAAAGCAGAAGTTCCTGCTTACCCGCTCATAAGTCAAACAGCAGCGATGCACGGAGTAACGGCGTCAGGCAGCGTCATCCATTTAGAAGGCGCCGCATGAGAATCTCAATTTAATTACGGCGTGCTCTTTTTCAGAGTGCCTGGCCGCTGAACCTTCCCACGAAAGAAGCTAACGTTATAAAATAAAGCGGAGGGGGCAGGGGGAAGGGCGGTTTTTTCGGAACGTAACAAATAAAATATTAGATAAAAACGGCTAGAAAGCTTGAGGAAAACGACGAGCTTTGACACACGTCCTCAAAGAAACCTCCCAAACTCTCCCCAAAAAGAGGAAAAAATAAACACACTTTCACGCAAGGAAGCGAGCGCCTCTTCTTGAGAAGTCGGAGGGAAGAAAGGAGAAATAACGCGGAAGCTAAGCTGAAAAAAAAAAAAAAGAAGAGAGAGCAGAGTTTGTGGGGAAAACAAGCAGCCGCAACAACGCCAATGGCGCTGACCGTGCGTTTTACGACGGGAGAAGCAGTAGCTTCTTGCCGCGAAGTGGAACGAATTGAAGCCCTCCTCTCTTTTCCTTTCTTTTCCCTCTCCGTCAAGTGACTACGGCAGCTTGTAGCTCGTAAAGAAAATTACGCGTCCGCTGGGAGTCGACGGAGCAAGCAGCCAGGCACACCGCCGCCAGAAGAGATGCCTCATCTTTTCAATCTCAGACTTCCCCCGGCAGTCACGTGAAGGGGGTATGGGGATGTGACACGAGGGGGGGGGGGGGGGGGGGGGCGGAGAGTTTATCGTGGTCTAATGGCAGCGAGAGGGAGGTTTTGCCGTGTGACGGGAGCCTACGCGAACTGGAATAATAGCCGCTTATAGAAGATGTACGTCGTAAAAGGTCTCTTTGGTTTGAGTAAACTAATGAAAATCTGGGTCTACATAATCCTCGAGCGAGTAACAAAATTCACTCGTTTATCCCTCTAGTTAAATAAATCATTTATCACTGGACCTCAGATGGAGGGAGCTAGTTACGCTTTAATAGTTTACACTTTATCTCGCTACCGCACATTTTCGTGTAACGGCGGTTGTACTTTTTTTTTTTCAAAAAACATTAACGCTACGTGAAAACTGTGGCAGCCATCGCCATGTCAGTGCTTAAAATGAGTGCTGTAATATCTCACAAATTACCAATGAATCTTGGAAACATTCTATGCGTGGCCCTTTCCTAGATGAGGATTATAAAGTTAAATGTTACTCTTATTTTGAAGCCTCAGAATAGAAGCATACTCACCGCACCAATACAAAATGCATCTGATATAAGAAAAGAGTCACATCCCGGCTAAGATACACACCTTCGTCGGGTCTCACGTACCTTGTGCATATATCTTTAAGCGATGACTCATAGAGAAGCGTCCTTCTGCCACTCAGACTACAGGGCGTACCCCCGATATGTACAGGGTTTCTTTACCACAAAAAATGTACTACGCATCGTCCAACGCTCGTTCTTTGCCCAAATGTAGCACTAACGGTCCGAACGAGGTGCCAAGCTTGAAGAACTAACTGTTATCTTAATCAAAAGTTATGAAACTGAAATTGGCGACCGACTTCGAAGACACGGAGCTGTGTGGCCCCAGATACCTAGAATGAGCCACATTTTTCTATTGACATTAAAAAAAAAAAATCTTATATTTTTTAAATAAGATAACGATTAGTTCTAAAACTTCGGCATTTAATTCGAACTACTGGCGCTAGGCAGACAATGAACATTCGGCGATGCGTAGTTTAGTATTGCTGTTAAAAATCCGCAAATTGTTCTTGATACGCGCTGTGGCACACATACATTGTGTGCCAAGACCATCCTCTAATAATAGCCAGATATCGAAACGGGGTTTTCATCATACTTGATTCCGCCGGTGTGCAGAGGACCCCCAGTCTCCGAAAGGCTCGCACCACCAGCCGGTTGCCAAGCCTTTCGGTGGCGGAGTCGGGGGCAGTGGCGGAAGCAAGGCGGCGCACAGCAACGGCGTGACGAAAAGCGACGCTAACGACTACTGGATCAGCAGGGAGACGACCACGTAGCCCGAGAGCCCGGAGTCTCCGTCCCGACCGTCGGCGGAGACTCCAGAGCGGGGCCAGAGTCTCTGGTGGTCTGCCACGTCCGCCTACGCGGGACAAGTGCGTAGATTCTCATAACCGAAGTCATCCCTTTCCACGCACATGATTGCGTTCATTTATTGATGCATACAGATGTAGCATAGTAGTCTGGTCCAAAATTTGGCTTTTGTCTGGGAATTTAGGGCCTTACAAGAAACCCCGAAGAATGCTGATTGGGGACAAAGGCTTGAACTTTTTTGGTGAAACAAGCTCCAAAGTATGGCTTTGATGCGGGTTTGGATGTCATCTGTCATATTTGGACCTAAATCGACAAACAGCTGTCAGAGTAAGGCTTCACTTTTAGCTGTTTTGCTTTCACGTTGCAACTTCGGGTCTAAATTGCCAAACATATGTCAGATTTGGGCTTCACCGCTGGTCCTTTGGTTTCTACACGTGACATCATTGACTCAAGTCTGACACTTTGGCAATTATGTGGTGAGCTAGAGAAAAAGTCATAAAGACACCGGAGAAATGTTCTCGGGCACTAATGAACGCCTTGGGTCAGAACCGCATAAAGTCCAAGTTAGGACCCTTTGCGGAGCGCAAGTTCGTCAGCTTCTTGCAGAGGGGTTGCGATGATGTCAGAACGCCGAGCTCTTATTGGCTGATTGAAAAACAAATAGTAGGCAGATCTCAAGGCCTCTAGAAATGAGGCCCACCCACTATCCTTTTAATCAAGGCCAATCAGAGCTCGGCGTTGTTCTGACTTCCCCGCGACACTTACGCGAGAAGCAGACGACTTGCTCTCCCTATAGGATTGCTAAAGGTGTACCAGGTTGGGCGTTTCTCTGGTGTGCTTCTCGGGTACACTCTAAAAAATGCTTGCGCGTCTACTTACCCGCAAAACACTCGAAGAGACAATCTCTCCGATCTACGAAATCACCTCAGCGAATGAGGAGGCGAAACATCTGTTTATGCTTTAAAATGAAGTTGGCGCTGTGGCATTACGCAATGCAAGCATGACGCTTTGCATTGCGTAATGCCAAAACGCCAACTTCATTTTAAAGCATAAACGGATTTTCCGCCTCATTATTCGCTAAGCTGATTTCGTAGATCGCAGAGATTGTCTCGTTGAGTGCCTTCAGGGTAAGTAGACGCGCTGGCATTTCTTAGAGTGTAATGACAGTTATACAGCCAAACATTGTGCTTGTGTGTCCACTTTCCGCTAGAACGCCGACACGGCCAATCAAGAAAACGGATAGAAGGATCCCAGAGAACGACGAAGATCACACTACAATTAGATCTAGATTTACGGACTGCCATAGTAAATGACAACTAAAGGAACGCTTGGCGTATCAAGTCCCGAAATTCTCATTATCACTCCGCAGCGAATGAGATGGCAGCGCTAGTCGTTAGGACTGCCCAAGAATCGAAATTGTACCAGATATACCGAGAAGTTGAAACATCGTTCCCATTGCCCTGCTAAAAGGACAGGTTTCAGGCCTAACATCGTATTTGACGCTCAGCGCTTCGTCATTCGTTGGGATCATTTCTTTGTTTGCCGTGGCTAGTTGCCACCGTGTTTTGCACGGTTGAGTATGCCGAGCTTCTTAAATGTACTATTTGGCAGCAAGGCAAACAAGGCATTAACTACAGAAATGCAACCGTATTAAACCATAACCTTGATGAAGGGGAGAATTCTTTAAAATTCTCCCCATCGGCACAAACCTGTGATCTTTTTCTTTTTTTTTTTTTTTACAGCGACAGTTGTTAATGGTGTGTTCCCAGATTTCGGGACGGTGTGAACGTGAACGTCGTCCGTTTACCCGCTAAATCTAGCGCAAAAATTGACGTCACGTGATTTATGCACCGATTCAGTTTCGCCGCTAAATTTGGCGGGCAAAGTGATGTGACGTCACCTGACATCACGGGACCTAGAGAAAAATTCAGGTTCCCCGCTAAATTTAGCGTAAAAGTTTACGTCACGTGACTTATGAACCAACTCAGTTTCCCCGCTACGTTTGGCGGGAAAAATCATGTCACGAGACCTGAAGTCACGGGACTTACAGATAAATTCAGTTTCCCCACTAAATTTAGCATATAATTGACGTCACGTGACCTAAGCACCAATTCAGTTTCCCTGCCAAGTTTGGCGGGAAAATTATGCCACGTGACCTGAAGTCACGGGATATGCAGAAAAATTCAGTTTCTCCGCTAAATTTAGCGAAAAAAGTGACGTAACGTGGACTATGTATCTGTTCAGTTTCCCAGCTAAATTTGGTGGGAAAACTTATCACGACCTTAAAATAACTTATTTATGACCAACGTGTCGACGCTAAATCAAAGCAACGTCATTTTAATATCAGATCACCGTAAGACGCACTGTCGGCGCAATGTAAATCAATCGTCATCGTCCTATCGCCGAATATCCAGCACAGCTGTCACGGTCTAAACACATCACCACGTGTGATCGTCGCGCAATTTTTTTCTTTTCATCTACGGCTTAGTTTTTTTTATGTATTAAAGCTTAAATTGATTTGCGATCACAGAAAGATTGATGTCATTGCGTAAAGTAGACCAGTATAAAGCGTACTGTTGCATTTCTTTCTTACATGGATACGTTTCACGTATCCAACATGGATCCAATTTGAGGAGCCCGTTCACCCATGGAACAGATCATAGAACTAGTAAAACTGAAATATACCAGGACGAAATACCTTGGATGTTCACTTTTTGTCACGAAAATACCACTGCGTGGGGAAAAGCTACATTGTCCAGCCTATTTTGGCTAATTGCTAAAAACATGAGCGAGATTTTCTTTTTTTCTGTTGCCATTTGCGATACTTTAGTCTACTCCATTGAATTACTTGAGCGTTTTCTTGGCCAAAATACCAGCACACACTCGATAAGCATATTGAACGAGGCTGATCAGCTCCTCTCTTAGACTTTTTTGTGTTCAACAATTCACATAACCAAGACAAGAAGCTGGAAAGCAAATTCATAAACCTATTTAATGAATTATTCATAAAATCTCGTAAGAATATTGTGAATTTATATTATTATTTGAAATTAAGCTGAAACATACAATACCCAAGAATACAATATCTGCCTATAGCACCTGGGCCCATATGAAGAAAATATTTGTTTAAGCAAGTATTGATGAAGATGTCGGATTCCCTACATGATGCCCGAAATAGATAGTAGAGATTACTATTTCCACCGGCCCAGGTGTTAATCTTAGCTGTGTTCTCCGTAATACTGTTAAACTGAAACTTGCGCTCCATTTGCATTTACATAGTGTATACGTACATACCCCGCTTCATATTAGACCTATCGCCCTAGGATGTGTTACCTAACACATCTGGCGATAGCCTTAGGCAATTGCCCTAGGTCAATTGGGTAAGGCTAAGACGATATTTATTTGCAAGGGAGTTTACTGAAGTAAAATTATATTTAAAACCACGTGCTTATGCAAGGCGCCTTGACTACTGCGAAAAGAAGGATACATATTTATTTCTCTAATGCGATTCCCAGGAAAGTGAGCGGTCAAGTAAAAAAGAGGAGGGCATACAACTTTAAAGAACACTCTTTGATCCGCGCATAAAAGGTAACACGCGAATAAAATGTCTTGTAATTGAATAATGGTACTATTACATATCTTTCGTGTAGAAGCCGGGAGGTTATTTAAGTTGTTTTCTGGTGCCACCATAGGCCTATTTTTTTACTAGAGCCGAAAATACCTACTTTTCACTGAATGTATTGTATAGAGTATGAATGAAATGAAGTGAAAAAAAGATTTACATAAGGTGATAATAATTGAGAAGATACCCATACACGCAGTTTTGAAGCTAATTCTTTATTAAGACAAAAGTAGATCAATTAAGTGCGTAGTCCAGTTCATTCACTCTAGGGCTCACACAGCGACATGCAGTTACTTTACGTACGTGCGTAAAATATGATGATGCAGCTGTCAGTCTATTGTGGGTCCAGCGCTGTACCAAGGAACATGCTAGTCACTTTTGAAGAATCAAATGAATGAGATGTAATGAAAAATTTATGTCATTAATATGATTTTTTAAAAGGTTGAGCAAACTGCTAAAATTCTAGGTAATATAATAAGCTAAGACGATATGAAAGCGCGCACCAGGATGAAAAACGAGCCCAAAATGTTAACATATATTTTGCTACAAGGTATTAATGAAATTTCAGCAGGCACTAGAATGAGCTGAGTTTGCGACGTCGTCTGACATACTTTTTTCCATGTTTATTCTACTTTTAGCTGTTTTAAGGTTTTTTACACTCAGTTTCAGGTTTTTTAACATGATACTAAACTTACACCAGCTCCAGCTCGCCCGCACCCGCAGAGTGTTTTAGGATATTTGAGTAATTTTTGCATCTGGCCACATAGCTATTGAATTGCTTTGGTTACGTTCTTTTATCTATCTCTAAAATAAAATACGCCCTTTATCTTATGTTTATCGATGCGGTCTTGGAAAAGGCTTAATTAATGAGACTGAATTACATTATCATATGAAACAAAAATAGATATAAAGTCAAACGTTACTTTCGGCTTGCTAACAGTGCTCATTCCTGGGCAGGTCCCCACCTTGACGTCACCCCACGGCGGCCACCTGTTAGCGTCTTTTTCGATGTCTGCCCCAGCAATGGCCCAGAGACGGCCACCGCCAACGCAGGCTGTCTGCGTCATGTCTGCTCGAGTGGCCTCTACGCGTGGTGCTACTGGCTACGGGGTGTGAGGTGCGTTCACTTCCGATTAGAATAAACTTACTTCAATTTAAATAGTTTTATTTGGGTATTGCATGTTACAAGTTGGGCGAAAATAAACTAGGTCTGCTAGCCATTTTGATCACTAAGGGCCCACGTTAATAAAATAGTTAGGTGATAGTCACTTATCATAAAAACACTAAAATTATACATAAATCAAGGAAATATAATGTTGAGTAAATACGGTACTCATCAAATGA